AGAGACCATAGGGACATTTCTGCGGAGTATTTTGACCCTGTGGTAAAGAGCCTGGACACCGAGGATCTTCACTCGCAAACTCACCCCCGAACCCCGACATATACTAAAAAATTACCCGCCATCCAAAAAAAAAATCAATCATGAATACCACTAAACAAATAAATCACTAAACAATAAGCCGATTCGAGATGCCCAGCACTATCGCGCTTTTCAAAGAAAATCTCGAAATCTAACGGCACCACCAAAATTTTCATCAGAACTTTTTTTATAGAGCTTCTCAAGAGCTAGAATAATGGTTATTACAAAAATTTTAGTATCTCCCTTGGTTCCAGAGATATCTCGAAAATAGTGGATCACAACGAAGAGCTAAGTCAACGCTAATCGGTTCACCAATTTGGAAGTGAAATAATTAGTGAAATAATTAGATTATTTCGGATAATTCTATCAGAACCTTCAGCACCGAGTCCATATTCACGATTGAAATAAGTCTGCACTTCAGACATTACCGAGAGTTATCTACAGTTCGAAATATCTTTTATCGGGATACGTCACAATCAGCAACGATTATGCAAGATAAATAAACAAAACTGGAGAATAAATAGAAAAATATTCGGTTTGAGGATATGTTTACTAAACTAGCTGCACACCTGAAAATGGTCCTTCATGGTGACTCCCTGAGACACGAATAACAGGGAACACCTTGGATCCCTCGTTTTATAGAAGCACCAGCAGTCGACCTTAGATGCCGCGTCAACAGGATTTATAATTATGCATAAACATGTTTACCAGCATCGATATCGTCCAATGAAAATAATGGGAGAAGAAGGCGCGTCTCGATGGAAAAGCACGATACCAGTTTCTAATACCCACACCTTCAAAGTTATCTCAAAAATATTTTGAAGATTTTCCCACGACGTTTTCGAGGGATTTATTCTAGATTTGATAACGTGACGCTTCGAAAATAATGAATAACGACGCAAATATCTGGACATTTATTCCATATTATTTTCCTCTGCATTATTAAATTTCTCGGGATTTCTCTCTCTTCGGGTACAATGAGACATTACTTCACTTCATTGTATCATAAAAGTACAAGCGAGTCGAGTGAATCTTCTTTCTCTGAAAGAAATCCGCGTAATTAGCAAGAAGCTGTGAATTTTTATGGGTAAAGAAATTGCAAGAGTGCAGTGTCCAATGAGAAAATAGATGTGCATTCGAAATTTTTGGATTCTTCTGGAATTTTCCGACACCGAAGGTCTACGAGTCAGTCGTGATCGATCTATCAAATCCCATTTCAATGCACAATGAAAACAATCCATGACATTGCGCAATTACGAAATCAGTCGTTGTATTTTTATGGAATTTTTTTTATACTAGTTCAGTGAAGATCATTAATTGTCGTGCGCTATTTAATTACGAGTTAATCTCTCCTTTCACTTTTTACTATTCCAGAGGTAAAAATTCCGAGATTTTGGGGTCTGAATCTTGGGGAAAATTCAACTTTCGAGGGGACCTGATGAATATTAATGTCTCGATGGAGAAAAAATATTGAAATACCAGTGATTTGATCAAAAACTCGACCAACCAGTGTCTGGCACGTTATCACCTTTCTAGAGGCCAGTGGTATCTCACATCCAGAATGAACAGCCAATTTTTTATCGCTGATTTATTATCTAATTAATCTAATCCTTACTCTATCAAATTAATTGCAATTATTTTCAACCAACTCCCTAACATGATTTATAATTGAAAATTAAAATTTGATAAATTCCATGTCCCCTATCCTAGTAAATACCCTAGAGATAATCCCCAGAGATAAAATTATTATTAAATAAAAAATGGACTAGCCGTTGCTCTGAATTTCCGTTAAAATTGCAATAAATAAAAAATCCCATAATTTGGGGGATTTTCCAAAATTGGAGGAATTTTCAATTGCCCTAGGGATTCCATTGATCCACCATTCATAACTATTATCCAACAATGCCAAACTCCCCCCTCCCCCTCCCTACCAAGTCCTCATTCATCCGGTCGACACGGATATCCGCGAATATGAGCTGCACCCGCGAATCCCTCCCCCTGTAAAAGGTGCACGCAAAAGAGTCCAACAATCGGGCCGAGAGAGGGGCCGAGAGAGGGGCCGAGTGAAAGATGAGAGTGCGACGGAGAAAAGTCCGTGTTATCCGAAAAAAGAAGAAAGAAAAAAAAAAGGTAAGAAAAGGAAAGAAAGAGGATCGTACCGGTGGCAGCGAGGCATGAGGTTTAATCCCGTGGCCAGTAGCTCGCCAGTGTTGGATAGGATAGAGACAGGTGGAGTGTCGGCCACACGAGAGTTAAAGTCCCGGTCTGGCGCCTCAACTTGAAATTTTACCGGTCGTGAGTTCGTTGTCCGACATGAAAATTCATTTCCAACGCCACAACCATTGAGTTATCATTTTAAAAATCCCTCAAATCTCCTCAATTTATAAAATCATTCCTACCCTATTAACGAATTAATTAATATTAGCCCAGATTCGCTGGGGGATCGCTGTGCTAACTCGCGTGTGAATCCGGTTCAGGTTGAATGTGAAAATACACCGTGAGGAGTCACGATCTACCTAATTTCCATCATCTACCCAATTTCTTCTTGAAAACAGAAAAAAAAAAGAAAGGGACTTGTGAAAATCGTGCAATTCCTGGATCATCGACAGGTAAGTCAGTCCTTGGATCCTGAATTGTCACAGAACTGTCAGAAAATCGACAGAGAATAGACCGAGAAAAAAAATCTTTAGTCCAATTTGGTCATTTCTGAGGAATATTAGAAATATTTCTCAGAAGATAAACTTCTCGGGTTATTATTCATTTTCTTTAACCACCGAATTTTTTGAAGAGATCTGAAGAGATCTGAAGAGATCTGAAGAAAAATTGTAATGAAAATCCATAATTCACTCGAGTAAATAAATTTGTTATTAATCCACAATTTTTCTCAGTGTATTATTGTAAACGAGACAATGCTTTCACAATCAAGACAACTTTTCCAAATACGTTATTAAAACTGGAATTGAACGAGTTTCTCTGCATGCACCGTCTTCCACACTATTGAACCATGAAGAGAACTCCATCTCCGTTACTTTGCAACTGCAACCGTTATAATAGCCAACGCATCCACATCTCCACGATATTTCGTGGATATGAAAGCATTCCCAGATTGCTCGTGGGATAAATAAAAATTGGACTCCATCGACCGACACTTGCTTCGACACGTGCTTCATGACCTATGACATGACAATTTTTATTTTCATCAACTGTCAAAAGTGGCACACGTTTCTCTCCATTTTCACAGAGTCCAATCCGCTGCACACCTTGTTGGGGAGAAATTAATTTTTCTAATTGATCGATACTGAACTTTTGAAAAACTTTTGAAAACTTTTACTTCGAAGCTGATTTGAATATTTATCGAGTAACATTAATCGAATAGCGGTGATTTTTCCCGCATTTTTTCATTTCCGTATTTACCGTAAGAAAAGAGATGAGAGTAGATCTCATTATATCCGAGA